GTGGCACAAATAATTTTTATTCATTTCATTGACTGCATCAATGCTGTTAACCAGTGCATCACCAGAAGCATACAGAAAGAAGAGGATAGGCATCCCTGCAGTGAAGATTCTACAGGATCCAGCTGCCTGCACAAAGTGGGCCTTTACGTGCACATGAACTTTAATGCCATCCCAGTCTTAGTCCGTAGGGTTCAATATTGAGCCGAAACTGGCTCCTCCATGTCTTTATGGACCTTGTTTTGTGCACTGGTGTGCAGTCATGTTAGAACAAGAAGGGGCCATCCCCAAACTGTTCCCACAAAGTTGGGAGCATGAAATTGTCCAAAATGTCTTGGTAAGCTGACACCTTAAGAGTTCCCTTCACTGGAACTAAGGGGCCAAGCCCAACCCCTGAAAAACAACCCCCCACACCATAATCCCCGTCCACCAAACTTTACATTTGGCACACTGCAGTCAGACAAGTACCAATCTCCTGGCAACCGCCAAACTCAGACATGTCCATTGGATTGCCGGACAGAAAAGTGTGATTCTTCACTCCAGAGAACACGTCTCCACTGCTCCAGAGTCCAGTGGCGGCATGCTTTACACCACTGCATCCGACGCTTTGCATTGCACTTGGTTGGATGCAGCTGCTCAGCCATGGAAACCCATTTCATGAAGCTCTCTACGCACTGTAGTGCTAATCTGAAGGTCACACAAAGTTTGGAGGTCTTTAGCTATTGACTCTGCAGACAGTTGGCAACTTCTGCGCACTGTGCACTTCAGCATGCGCTGACCCCGCTCTGTCATTTTTCGTAGCTGAGTTGCTGTTGTTCCTAGTTGCTTCCACTTTGTTATAATACCACTAACAGTTGACCGTGGAATATTTAGTAGCAAGGAAATGTCACGGATGGACTTATTGCACAGGTGGCAACCTATCACGGTACCACGCTTGAATTCACTGAGCTCCTGAGAGCGACCCATTCTTTCACAGATGTTTGTAGAAGCAGTCTGCATGCCTAGGTGCTTGATTTTATACACCTGTGGCCATGGAGGTGATTGGAAACCATGAATCCAATGATTTGGAGGGCTGGCCCAATACTTTTGACGATATAGTGTACTTTATTAGAGGTAAGTAATGTTCTTCAGTAATATCACATAGTTGGAAAGAACACAGAACAAGTATATGAAACACACATAATCCCTAATCACATAATACCTCTAGGTACAGTGCATACAGAATATGTGCAGAAACTGGAGTATCTAGAGGGGTTTCTGCTCTGCTACTATTAAAGAACAAATGTAAGTACAGCGTGGTTAAGACAAATTCTCTGCACGGAATGAAGCAGCCTGCCATGATGTCATGTGTTATATATTCAGATGAGAATGTCAAGCTAGACAGGACAGCTTGTCCCATCACACAGGCAGACACAAGGCACAGCTGTCAAGCTTGGATTTGGGGACTTGGAAAACATGTAATGTTATATCATTTGAATCAGTTTCAAGTTCCATAGAGAGACAGTAAATTAAAAACATAAAAAAAGAGGAAGAAGAAAGCATTTAAAGGGAGAGGAGAGAACAATCCTAATATAACTAAAAGATTTGGAAGGGTGCCATTTTGTCTGCATTTAATTGGCCACACAGTAAAAATAGAAACTGAGATTTACATTGTTACTAGAAAGGGTGTGCGAGGAATAAAACCGGGGACAGGAACAGGTTAAAACTGCTCATAGTCCCCAGTTACCCACCCAAAGGGCGACTCAAGATATCCTATTGCAAAAAAGGGGGCTCAGGGTTTAAGGTGAGTATCGCAGCCCATGCTGTTTTTTATTTTGACCTGCTGCTGTGGGACAATTTTATTCAAAAACATTTTTTTCCCTAGAGTTGGACAGACAGTAATATTTGGGTGTAAACTTGATTTTCAAAAGTAGAAGTAAAACTAACGTAAGTCTAGTCCAAGCAAATAAATAGCTATCAAAGCAGCTGAAGAGGTACTAGGGGACTTTACTGGTGTGTTACCTCTCAAGAAAAGACAAAAGTGTAGCACATTCTAATGTGCTACTAGAATAGTGTAGTGTATTGCAATCATTGTGAAATCATTGTGTATGACTCATGGTAACCCTGTGATTCTATGATTGAGGTCAGGTTATTGCAAGTCAACTGGATGGCTTCACAGGTTGCTTCCTCATGACTCTGGTGGATCATAGAACCTTCCAGAAGTCAGTAAGCAGGAAGGGGTGGAGACCTAATCTACATGTTTATGGGAGTCTGGCCAATCCCAGGTTTGGAGGCCCTGATAGAGGGTGGGCTGGCCCATAAATATGGTAGAGTCAGGCTGACAGAGGAGTTGGGTGGAAGATGGAGTGCTGAGGAGACTGATGATGCCTGGAAGGAGTCCCCTAGGTCAAGAGGGAGGTGGCCTCCAGGCTGGGCTCAGGCTGGCTCAGGAGTATACATTCAGCAGTGTGGCTTGAATGGGATCAAGACCTGAAGCAGTGGGAGCAAAGAAAACAGAGTGAGTACAGCAACACACTCTGGGATTTACAAAGGGAAAGACTGCCAAATGCAGCAAGCGTTCTAAGGACAGCACTGGGCTCAATCTTTTTTCCTTGTTCCGGGAGATCTTCTGAGCAGCCAGGAGGGCTGGTAGTGTCCGCAGGCTGTGGAGCTGGGAGCAGCTCTGCAGGGGAGAAAAGATATCTCTGCATGTAGTTACAAGAACCTAAGTTGATTTCTGCGGGGCTACTAGTTCCTCACCCATAAAGGGCTGTTGTTACTGATCCACAAAGACTGACAGTTTTCATGGAAAAGAACAGTCCAGGATCTGCTCCTGTACATAGGAAGGAAGTTGTCCCCCCTTCATTGTTTCAAGCCAAACTGGGCAACCCATAATCTATTTTTCCCTATCCAAGTTATTTCCCCTTAATAAAATAACAAAACCAAGCTCATGGACTGGTTACTGTCTCTTGGATGCAAGTCTGTGTAAAAAAAATACCTGTTGTTAAACATCAAGGGCGATCAAAGGATTAACTGTGTGACTAACTATGTGTTTTTCTGTGTACTATTTGCTGTTTTACTAGGCAATCTGCTAGATTTTATTCCCTGCCTTTACATAGGCAGAGCTGTTTTTACGGCGATCAACACTCATGCATTGGCTGGTACCTGTCGATTGGCTTTTGCTGTGCCCAATCACAGCAGAAGTGGCGTGCACACGCCCCCAAAGGCAGAAGTGCAAGATCAAGTTTATATACATGATTTTGCACAGAACATCCCCCCTGTAGCAGTAAATCTGCTATATGGTGGACTTAAAGTGGTTAAAGCGGACCTTGCAGTACAAAATTCACAATTTTCTAAATACCCCCTTCCCCCCCAAGCCAAAATGCTGCACTAATAGAATAATAAAATGAAAATGCCTGTGGGTAAAAAAGTTAACATACTTACGTTACCTCCAGTTTCAGTACTGTTGACATCACCATCCTTCAGATGAGACCCATGGAATTCCAAGTAGCTTAAATCTTTTGAGATGACGCTCCAACACAGTTCAGTCTCAAGCCCAACGAAGGGCATGCATACCAGAAACTATTGCTGTACTGTATCTTGCTTGTGTGTCTTGACTTTTAAGCAATACAATTAGGATCCCCTGTGCAGCAACTCCAGACTCTTTTTTATATATATATATATATATATATATATATATATATATAAATAAAACAAACACATATAAACAAGCTAAATTTATATATTCCCTGGTCCCAGGGCCAAATATCTTATGCCAACCCATTCCTTCCTTAATGCCCTGGCTAAGCTTAGTATCACAGTAACAAGATCAGATATCACAGCCACACAAAGTACGGTGAGACTTGGGGCTGCAAAGACTGAAAATGCCAAACAGGGCCCATAATAAAGACAATATTGTTTTTACATAATGCCACTCACAATTCACATGCAGGTCAAGCTGGCGAGTATCCTCATGACAAAATGGGCAGCTGTGAAGTGCTTTGATATGTTAATATTAACCTGCATGCCCTTCAGCACCTTAGGCTTCTCCAAAGGGGGTTCCTATAAAAAGGCACTGGTTCTCCAAGTTCTTCAACATGCCCAAAAGATAATAGCAGCAGATGGGGGCTTCTGTGTCATCTACAATACCTGCCCCATATAAGGTGGGGGGGGGTAGAGGAAAGACCCCTCCTTGGTGTACTGGCTTTGGGGGTCCTTTGGATTCCAAACCTGTTCACTTTGTGGCTGGCTCTGCAATAGTAAAGCACAGCACACGGTAATAAATACTTCTGGTTGAAAAGCTATGGAGGTCTCAGCATCATGACAGTTTTCTTCAGAGATTGTCTTCAGAGTTCCCTTAAAAAATCACTGACTACAGCCTGTATTTGCCATGGTTGGACAACATTGTATTGTGAACACTCCAGACAATCTGGTTTGGGGTGTAGCCCAGGAAAACATTCTTGTTCTATTGCTTCGGTCTCATTGGGGATTGTTGTTCCAATTTGGAACGGGGATGCAGAAGTGCAAGGCCCAATTTAGGAGTCACGAGTCCAGGAAACAAAATTCAAATAGCAGTGCAAAAGCCCAAAACAAGATTTAAGACTGCTGTCATAGGCATTTTCTGGGTCTCCTCACTTCCAATGTTAACAGCTAAGGTTCAATCAGGATTTGGAAAAAGATCAGCTTACAAGATGTGGTGCGATCAACTGAGCATGACTATGTAACAGGATGACAAAGCATGAGTGCAACTGGGAGACAGGTACAAAGACAGTTTTCATATACAAACGAAGATGGTTGTCGCAATTTTTTGCCCCAATACAACAGGTCTCCTCCCCTTTAGCAACTTGAATTTAAGGTGCAAAAGATCAAATAGTCCAAATGGTAAAATCCAATATCATATTGTAAATATCCATATAAAATATTCACTATATTGCCAAAAGTATTGGGATACCCCTCCAAATCATTGAATTCAGGTGTTCCAATCCCCTCCATGACCACAAATGTATAAAATCAAGCACCTAGGCATGCAGACTGCTTTTACATACATTTGTGAAAGAATGGGTTGCTTTCAGGAGCTCAGTGAATTCAAGCGTTGTACCATTATAGGTTGCCACATGTGCAATAAATCCATCCATGAAATTTCCTTGCTACTAAATATTCCACGGTCAACTGTTAGTGGTATTATAACAAAGTGGAAGCAACAACAGCAACACAAAGTGGTAGGCCACATAAAATAACAGAACGGGGTCAGCATATGCTGAAGCGCACAGTGCACAGAAGACACCAACTATCTGCAGAGTCAGTAACTAAAGATCTCCAAACTTCATGTGGCCTTCAGATTAGCACAACAATTGTGCGTAGAGAGCTTCATGGAATAGGTTTCCATGGCCAAACAACTGCATCCAAGCCTTACATCACCAAGTGCAATGCAAAGTGTTGGATACAATGGTGTAAAGCACACTGCCACTGGACTCTAGAGTAGTGGAGACATGTTCTCTGGAGTGATCAATCACACTTTTCTGTCTGGCAATCCGATGGACGTGTCTGGGTTTGGCGGTTGCCAGGAGAATAGTACTTGACTGCATTGTGCCAAGTGTATGGTTTGGTGGAGGGGGAATTATGGTGTGGGATTCTTAAGGCGTCAGCATACCAAGACATTTTGGACAATTTCATGCTCCCAACTTTGTGGGAACAGTTTGGGGATGGCCCCTTCCTGTTCCAACATGACTGCACACCAGTGCACAAAGCAAGGTCCATAAAGACATAGATGAGCGAGTTTTGGGGTGGAGGAACTTGACTGGCCTGCACAGAGTCCTGACCTCAACCTGACAGAACACCTTTTGGATGAATTAGAGTAGAAACTGAGAGCCAGGCCTCACAAATGTGTTTCTGGGAGAATGGTAAAACATTCCCATAGACACACTCCATAACCTTGTGGCCAGCCTTCCCAGAAGAGTTGAAGCTGTTATAGCTGCAAAGGGTGGGGAACTCAATATTGAACCCTACGGACTAAGACTGGGATGCCATTAAAGTTCATGTACGTTTAAAGGCAGGCGTCCTAATACTTTTGGCAATATAGTGTATATAGCATTAGGACAAGCTTATTCAAAAGCTGTAGTAGGCTCTGGAATAAAAGAGAGAAGAAAAGAGCCTTTAAGTGCAGTATTACAAAGATTTCTTAGGACACAAGAGCAAGGCCACTCACATGTAAATAGTAGTAAACAAGCTCATATGCATTTGGAGGTCCCAGGGATGTGTTGTGGATGCCCAGCATCTACAAGGGTGACATTAGGCATCCACCACACAGCCCTGGGTCCTCTTTTGTCCTAATAAATCTTTTTAATACTGCACTTAGAGGCGCTTTTCTTCTCTCTTCTCATCCCCTTAGCAAATGCAGTACTCCGAATAAAATGGAGGATAGTGGGTTGTTCCTGTTTGATGTAGAGGGATCATTCCAACCTTTATGATCCCAAAGGCACCCACTAGAAGAGCTGTACAAGGCGAACCAGGGAATGGGAAGATATTGCCAAGCTAATATGCCTGAGTTAGAAAACATTCTCTTCTTCACAGAAAGGGAGCAAAGGTAATCTAATTTTCTAAAACACAAATAGGTATGTGATTAAAAATGACACTGGGTGACATACTTAGCATGTTCTGTTGTTATGCTGCAAACCTTCCTAGAAGTTTTGTTCAGTATTGCAGCATCATGTGTTTGCAAACATCTGAGCCATGAGTGAGTGAAGTAGGTAATAAAGCATTTGTGGTTAGGACTGAGCATTCCACATTATTAACATTATTGTCATTATCTAAACCATGCTATACAGACCTGAGAAATGTTTATTGTGAAAGGAAGTGCTAGTTAAATGTAATTCTATAGATAATTAATATACTGTAGAACTTATGGGTTCATAAACAATTATCAATGTTTAATATATTTTATTAGGCAAAAGAGGAAGAAAGTAGAACTCAAAATATTAGATTTCATAGTTACATAGTTTGTAATGTTGAAAAAAAATCAGACCGGTGTATCCCTTTCAACCTATGTGTGTGTGATTTTTATTCTCTAACAATTCCCATAGCTTTGTATATTCTGTTTTCTGAGGAAGACATATAAAAGATTTTTAAAGTTGTTGACACTATGTTTACCGCTTCTTGGGGAAGAGAGTTACACATTTTAACTGCTCTAACAGTACAGAACCCTTTCTGCAATCTAAAATTAAACCTCCATTTTTCTAACCTCAAATCATGGCCACATGTCCTCTTCTTTATTTAAACCCAAGACCAAAAATTGTGTTATATTGCAGCTTAGCAGTCATTAGATGTGGTGGCTGCATCAGTTTTCTTTTCCTTGACTTTTTCCCCTCTGTTTTCACCTGCTGATCTGGCCAGTAACACACCTCCTGTATTAGTGAGACACCACTCTGGAGGAATGAGCCAGTACACAACAGACAGCAGCAATGTCAGTCTGGGAGGGATGGGCATTTTAAATGTATTAGCAGATATGAATACAAATAACAATTTGAAGCCAAACTCCAGCTAAAGATTTATAATCAGTTATAGTCAGGGCTGTGGATAAGGGGGTACCACCTCCTGTATGGGGCCCAGGCAGCTGGGTGAATTGAATGTGGGCAGGGAGGGTGATCAGCATGGCATGTGGAGGGGGCAGGAGGTTTACTAAAAATTTTCTCCTGTACGGCTCTTCCTGCAGCAGCTGAAAGCTGGATTCTTCATCTCTCCCTCCCAGCTGCTGCAGTGACAGCCATACAGGGAATCAGTTCCAGTAATCTCCCCCCCCCCCCCCCATCTGCTGCAATCATCACCTGCTGCCCAGGCCCCCTGTTTGCCCCCACCCCTGCAGTGCTGCCAGCTTCCCCCCTCTGCTTTCCACCGGCAGTTGCAAGCACACAATAGGATCCTTCAGGATGGAGAGTGGGGGAAAGGTCCAGTAAATATGTTACATTTACCAACCCCTTTCTTTCCTAAATGGACACAATAATTGATAGATACTGAGCACTCACTGTGTTCATTCATAACCTAAGCATTGTAAATGTTCTTTTTTGGAGCGGGCCACTGTCAGGTCGGCCGTATAGGGCCCCGTGGTTTCTAACAGCAGCCCTGGTTATAGCAAACATTTTTTTTTTCATTTTGGAATACAGGATTTGCATGAATAAATAAAAGGAGATCATTTCAATCACCCTGTCAGTGGCAGGGGTGAGTTGCTGGCTGGATCACCAGATGAAAATAGAAGAAAGAAAGCCAGAAAAGGAAACTAATGCAACCATCACATCTAGGAATTGGTAAACTGCATTATAATAAATGTTTGCTTTTGGGTTTAATACTGCTTTCAAATTATTCAACAGCCTCATATTGCCATGGGCGCTGTCCTGTGGGAGAAGATAAAGAATGATTGGAATTCATTCCTCATGGTAAGCAAAAAGTAACTCCTGTGCTACCATGCAAATATACCTACCTACTAAACAGCTAGCATTTGGATGCCATACCCACGGCAAAATGAACAAGGAATAAAATACACATAAATAGTGCAGCGCTGTAAAAATGCCTACATATCAACGGTCTTAAGATGAAATAGCAAGCGTGAAAGGGGGGCAATGGAAAGGGACATACACTCACACACCCCCAGGTGAATCGTGACCACAATGCAAAATCAATAGGTGCTGGGTGGTGAATGTGCCCCTGCAGGTATACAGGTGCGTAGGACGAGCGTTATCCAAGGATACTTAGAAGGTTTGTTGGCGTAGGGGACTAGCGGATGACATTTGTTGGGAGTCAAGTGCTTTTTGAAAGGGAAAGGGACATTTGAATCGTGACCACAATGCAAAATCATAGGTGCTGGGTGGTTGCAGGTATACAGGTGCGAAGGACGAGCGTTATGACTTAGAAGGTTTGTTGGCGTAGGGGACTAGCGGATGACATTTGTTGGGAGTGCTTTTTTTTTCCATTTGTTGGGTCAGCACCATGATTGATGTGGATCTGCATCACTGGACAACGTGGCTGATGGTGCATTTACATTTATTCTTTGCCTTACTGGGAACACCATATGGAGTGATATTGTCCTGCTGCACCACCCTGTAGAAGGAGGGAGTCTCACCATCACTACTGAGGGAATTCACCATCTTAAACAGAGGAACCCAGGGAGATTTTATAGCCCATTGGTCCATGCGGGCCTGGGCAGGAAGGTGAGGGGGCACCCCAGATATTGAGGATTGGCACCTATCGTCTATGTTTGCATGAAGATTTGTCTTCACACCTATCTCCCCATTTATGGACAATTCATATCTATTTATATCATTTTATGTCTATGTGTTTATTATTTATACCATTTGGGTGTCTTAGTAGTATAGGGGCACATTCACCACCCAGCACCTATTGATTTTGCATTGTGGTCACGATTCACCTGGGGGGGTGTGTGAGTGTATGTCCATTTCCATTGTCCCCCTTTCACGCTTGCTATTTCATGGTATGACCGTTGATATGTAGGCATTTTTACAGTGCTGCACTATTTATGTGTATTTTATTCCTCATGGTAGCACCATGCCTGATGTCCAGAGTTCCAGCATAATTATCCCCTTCCATGTGGTGGCTCATGGAGTCTGAAAAAGAAGCCATCATACTGCTGAACTAAGTTGTGCAGGACATATGATGCCTTAACTGCAATGATAGCTTTCTACATATGCAAGTTAATGGGAGTGTGCAAAAAAAAAAAAATACAAAGGAGGCCAAAGACTAGGCTTTTGTTAAAACATTCACAAGGTAATGCAAAAGCACAAGATCATCAAAAAGAAAGGAGAAGCAGAACACATAGAATAAAATAGTAATCCTGTATGTAGATGGCGTGGAATTAAAACTCAGAAGGATGTTCAACAAGTGCTTACCCCTCCCAAGGAGCCGCTTGATGTATTGGGATCTCTGTTCTTGTGCCTTGACTCTGCAAACAACTCTGTACTCTATAACACACCTGGCTGGATAGAAGATAGCTGCAAACACCTATGCACACATAGATATACAGTATGTATCCCCACACACAATTATACAAAGGCACCAGAAATTGACACCAAACTGGTTGACTGCAAGTAGAGCATATTGTCATGGGTTAGGGGTGGGAATCAATCGGAGGAAAAGCTGTTTCTCTAAGTTAATAAACAGTTAACAAATCAAGCTATATTAACATACAATTGGTACCTATAACATAGAATTACATCAGATATAGAATAAAAACAACAGTAAACAGTGTCCAATGATGTTAAGGCAATGGCTAGATTATTAACCTGTCTGGCTTCAATCAGTAAATGTTCCAACAAGGCACTTTTGGATTTGACTTGTAAAGGGTGTCCTTGGCTAAGGAAAAGACCTATAGGTGATCACCATGAAAGCAGCCAGTCATTAGGGCTCTTTGCTCTCAACCTTCTGCGTCTAAATTGTTGGGGCCCAAGCTTTGTGTTGCTGTGCATGAAAAAC